GCGTGGAGGCGGCAGAGGCTGCAGGACTGGAGGGTGTGCATTGGGGGCCACACGCGAAGCCCACCCCTACACCCCCCCACGATTTCTGAGGGGGAGGGTGGGCTTCACTTCGCCCAGGAGCTCCCGAACGAAGTGCACCCCACCCTCCCCTCAGAAATCGTGGAAGGGGGTAGGGGTAGGGTTCGCATGCGGGCCCCCTGGTGGAAATAGGAGGAGGACGAGGACAAGAGAGGAAGCCGCCGCCGCTGCCGCTGCTCCTGGCCCGGGCAAGACCCTTTTTCCCCCGCGCGCCCCCACCTCGGTGGGAGCTCCGGCGCGCCCCCAGGCTAAACGAGCCAGCGGGCGCCCCGCGGAGGCGAGCGCCGGGGAGGGAGGAGGCCGTGGCCGCGTCTCGCCGCGGAGGGAAGGGGGGGCCTCCTCCCTCCTCCCTCCTCCCTCCTCGCTCCCTCCCTCTCCCTCCCTTGCCCCCCCCTCCCCCCTCCCTCCCTCCTCCCTCCTCCCTCCTCCCTCCTCCCTCCTCCCACCTCCCTTCACCCTCCTCCTCCTCCTCCTCCTCCTCCTCCTCCTCCTTCTCAGGAGGACGAGGTCTGGAGGCAGCTGTGGGAACGATTGAATAAGAGGAAGAAAAACTAGGCACATGCACCGATTCTGGCCAGGCCCCTCCCAAGCCCAGGATCCGTGCACACGCCCTCCTGCCCTGGCCAGGAAGGCATCTGCACCGATCCTGGGTCGAGGATGGGCCTTGCCAGAACCGGCGCATGTGCATAGTTCTCTTCGCCCGATGGAAGGCTGTTACCGCCGACTGGGGGGCTCTGAGGCTAGGCTGTGCCCGAATAAGCCCATACTGAATGGGCTTCGACTGGCTTGAGCACGATCAGGCCGGAGTGGACCCAAGAAATACTGGCGTCGATGGGAATGAATGGCGTCGACGCCGAACTTGACCTCTCAAGGATTGCAACCTCAATCCGCCGACCCCCGCTTGTTGTGGGTGCAAAGGCGAGTGATATGATTGGTTGTCCCCTTCCCCCTTCCCCCCTTCCCTAGAGCTCCAAATTGCGTTAGAGGGGGGGGGGTACGAGCTCCCTCGCGCACCCCTGGGGCCTCCAGTGCCTCCAACTCTGCACTCCGTGGCCTCCAACATGCCAAATATGCCATTGAAGCTGGCTGAATGAGCGTCGCAACAATCCAAGAGAGCGTCGAGACTGCTCAGAATAATCCCGCGACGGTCCAGGACGGCTTCATGATGGTCTACGAGGCCCCCAAGACGCCCCAAGAGTGCTCCCAGAGGGCCGCTGCGAGGGTCCCAAGAGGCAAACATCGTCTCATAAAAAGTGCATCCTCGACAGACACACACACACAACACACACGTACACGCACACGCACGCGCAAACGCACACACACACACACACACACACACGCACACACAGACACACACACACACGCACACACACACACACACAGCACACACACACACACACACGCACACACACACAGACACACACGCGCGCGCGTGCCTGTTCGTCATGACAGCGTCCACTAAGGTCAGAATCAGCAACAACACGCGGAGATGGAGAGAGGAATACGAGGGAAAGGAACCATGTGTTCTCACCTTCCCTGTTCTCTGGTCACGAACTGCATCTGAACTATATGCAATGTAGGTCGCACGGAGTTCACGGGTCCGCTCTGATTTCGTGCAGGGGCAGGGTAGGAGGTATCGTAGATTCCCAAACATACCCCCAGATGATCAAAAAAAAAAAAAAAAAAAAAAAAAAAAAAAAAAAAAAAAAAAAAAAAAACATCGTCCCCAGACTATGTTTTTTTTACTATTTTGGGAGATCCCCCCTCGGCAGGGAAATTGCCCTCTAGCCAGGCCCACGTGCTCATTCGCTGCCCGCTTGACTCTCAGGTCAGAGAGGGCGGGGGAGGCCCTCCCTGCCTTCCTCCCCCTGCTCCTCCTTTGATAACTGGTTGCTAGTCATTGCCCCCCCTCCCTCCTCCTCCTCCTCCTCTCCTCCTCCTCCCTCCTCCTTCCTCCTCCTCCTCCTCCTCCTCCTCCTATCCTCCTCCTCCCTCCTCCTCCTCCTCGTCCTCTCCCTCCTCCTCCTATCCTCCTCCTCCCTCCTCCTCCTCGTCCTCCGCCTCCTCCTCCTCGTCCTCCTCCTCCTCCTCCTCCCTCCTCCTCCTCCTCCTCCTCCTCCGAAAGGTGCGAAAAACCTCCCGTCATGATCTTCTCAATTGCTCGAGGGGGTCTGGGCAGCGTGTCTATCGATAGCGAGAACCCAAGCCCTTGACTCCCGCCCTTTTCGTTTACGAACGCATCACCTTCAGTGGGCTTCGTGTGTTCATGCCAACTCATGGGTGAACCCCAACAGGGTAATCAATGCAAAGAGGGTCGGACGGGCGGATCCTGACAGGCCTGTCGGACGAGCGGGACATCAAAAGACGGACAGCGTGTCTTTCAGTCAATCGACCCGTCGGACCCGAAAGGGCGGGTCGGGCGGCAAACCCTCATAACGGGCAGGTAGGGCGGGCCCAGCAGGCGCAGGCCAAAGGTTCGCATTTTCCTGTACCAGTTGCAGCTTCCAGCTTCCACTGTTACAGTTCTGCTTCTTGCTGCGTACTGTTCCCTGTTGGAGGCCCAAACGGGCAGGTTGAGCACGCCCTGAGCGTGTGCTCTGAATTGCTGGGGTGGGTAAAAATTGACACCCCTCATGCAGATCGGCGCGGTCAGGGTCCAAAAACACACAGGATTTGCCACATTTCTGGAATTCGGTGGCACCCCTCACGCAGATCGGCGGGGTCAGGGTCCAAAAACACAAGGGATTTGCCACATTTCTGAAATTCGGTGGCACCCCTCACGCAGATCGGCGGGGTCAGGGTTCAAGAACATATGGGATTTGCTACATTTCTGAAATTCGCTGGCAAACCTCACGCAGATCGGCGGGGTCAGGATGCAAAAACACATAGGATTTGCCACATGTCTGAAATTCGCTGGCACCCCTCACGCAGATCGGCGGGGTCAGGGTCCAAAAACAACACAGGATTTGCCACATGTCTGAAATTCGCTGGCACCCCTCACGCATATCGGCGGGGTCAGGGTCCAAAAACAACACTTGATTTGCCACATTTCTGAAATTCGGTGGCACCCTCACGCAGATCGGCGGGGTCAGGGCCCGAAAACAGTGGAATTTGCTACATTGCTGAAACTCGGTGGCATCCCTCACGCAGATCCGTAGGGTCAGGGTCGAAAAACAAAGAGGTCCCGACACTGCTTCACGGCGGCGCCCAGACCTCATGATTTAGCTTGTGCATCTCTCATTATCCGAGGCAGGGGGCCGGCGGCATGGGGCGAAGCCCTTACGGATAAAAAAGATCGTCAAACCAGACGGGCCGTCGCGGCGCCCCTGCGGGACACCGCCACGCGAGACGACACGGAGAAGGCTCTGTGCCAATGACATGAGTATCGTTTCAACGATCCCCTACAGACGTATTTTCGACGAAGAACAAAAGAACCCGTCGAAAACACTACTCCCAACTGGTCCAACATATTTGTTTGACTATCTTTGAACAGTCCTCCTTAGAGGGACAGGCCCGACTCAACTGCACCCCCCTCTGCGCGCGGCCGCCCCGCGCTGAGTAAGTATCGTTTAACCGATCCCCATCCGCAGCGGCGTGGCCTGGGCCCCACTGGCCGATTTGCCCCCCTGGATCGGGATGCGGGTCGTCCCCGTCGGGCTTCGAGGGGCGTATCCCCACTCGGGGTGCTACTTTGGTGGGGGTCTCGAAGGAGATGGGGCTGGGGATGGGGATTGGTTAAACGATACCGAGCCAAGGCCGCCCCGGAGCGCCCCGCAACGGCCCGGGGACCTGCCTGGAAGGCTTAAGTCGGGCCTGTCCCCGGATTTTCGACGAAAAATAAAAAAAATACAAAATGAATCACAAAAAAAATACAAAAAATAGTCTGGGGACTATGTTTTGAGTATTTGTTGGCCTTTTTGCGGTATTTTTGGGGTATGTTTTTATTTTTCGTCGAAAATCCCCCTGTAGGGGGGCACGCCCGACATAAGATTGGTTAAACGATACCGAGCCACGGCCGCCCCGGAGCGCCCCGCAACGGCCCGGGGACCTGCCTGGAATTGAGCAGGGACCGACCGCCCCGGCATTCCTACAGTCCTAGCACGACATGTTCTTAGAACCAAAAATGTTCTAAGAACAACAACCATGTTCTTAGAACAGTAGCCCGGTGTGATGAAACAAGACAGCCTCCGCCAGAAATGGTCTCAGAACATCTCGTGGGAACCACAAGAGGTTCTTAGAACATTGTCTGGTGGGGCTAGAGGAACGCCGGGACGCTGCGCCACTGCTTGAAAAGGGATGGGGATGGGGAGGGAAGGGGTCTGGACCCTCCAAGACAAGCCGTTTCAGACCTCCCCCGTGGGAGAACCCTCCAAAACATCGTCCCCAGACCCCCCAGGCCCTCCAAGATAGCCTGGAAGAGACCCCCCCCCGGAAATGAGACCCCTCCCTTTATTACGAAATCTGGAGTACCGAGCCACGGCCGCCCCGGAGCGCCCCGCAACGGCCCGGGGACCTGGCCCTGAAGGCCCCGGAGCGGCTTGCGGCCCGGCCCTGGGCCCGCCCGCCCCCGCCCGCAGAGGCCCTCGGAGAGCCCCCCCCCCCTGTGGGGCCTCTGTTCCACCACCACCACCACCACCACCATCACAAGTTGGAGGGGACAAGGGGTCCTCCTCCTCCTCCTCCTCCTCCTCCTCCTCCTCCTCCTCCTCCTCCTCCTCCTCCTCCTCCTCCTCCCCCTCCTCCTCCTCCTCCTCCTCCTCCCTTTCCTCCTCCTCCTCCTTCCCCCCTTCAACTTATGATGATGGGGTTGGAGATCGTTGAAAGGAGTCTGAGCCGCGCCGTTCCCTCCTGCGAGACGCGCCACGGGCCAGGGGTCCCCGGGCGGCGCTCCCCGGCGCCGGCGGGGGCGGCGGGGCGCCGCCTCAGCTGCCGGCCTCCAGCCGCTCCATCCTGCGCGCGGCGGGGGGCGGGGGCGGGCCGCTTTGCGCCGCAGCGCGCCGAGGTGCCTCCCCCAAATGTCAGGAGGCAACTACCGGGGGGTCTTCTTCGGAAAGGGTAGGGAGGACTAAGCGCCACTGGGGCGCTCTTACGCTGGAGTGGGCCTCGGATCAAGCGGGGTTAAGCGGGATCAAGCGGGATCAAGCCGGATTAAGCGGGACTAAACAGGATTAAGCTGGATTTCGGACCAGGGCAAAGTCAGAATTTGACATCCCATGGAGTTTCATCAGAACAAATGGGGATACCGGCCAATTTTTTTGTTCGCCTCCGGCGATAGCCCGTGTTATCGGACTTGCCCCCCCCCTCCACCCCCCCAGAATAGCCTGACCTTGCCGGTTGTGCAGGTCCGGGGTGGGGGGGCGCGGGCAAATGCAGGGCTGCCCACAGCGCGAAGGTCAGGCTGTCGGCCGTCCCCCGTCCCCCCCCCCCTCCCGAAGATAACCCGGGCTATCCAGGATAACAAAAACGGCTGATCCGCCTGGGCTTCGAGGGGCACATCCCCGACGGAGGTGGTGGGATGTGGGGATCGGTTTGGGGACAGGTTACCAGCCTCGAACGTATCCCTATCCCTAATATTGACACACCTAAAGGCGATGACAATCTTAGGGATCCGCCCTCCAAACATAAGGGAATCCCTAAGATTGGCATCGTGATGAGAAGGTGCCCAGCTTAGGGATAGGGACAGGTCGGTCAAACGATGCTGATGTGAGGGGTCGGGCCCTCGAGCGGGACAGGGGCGTCAGGGGCGGGTGCCTCACTCAGGGTCGAGGACTGGCCATCGCTCGGACGTCCATTCCCTGTGTTTTTCGTCGGTTTCGTGCGTGTTTTTTTCGCCAAATGATCAAGGATGCTCCTCGATGGCCCTCGCCGAGAGAAAAATGCACACGTCCGAGCGATGCCAGGAGGAGAAGATGGATGAATGGCAAGGTCCGCGGACACATGCTGGCATGGAGAATGGCGGCAACCGCAGTCCTCATCCCGCCACATCTTCCCCGCCTCCGTCTCCGCCCCCCCGAGAAAGTCGGGATGGTGGAGCCCGCTAGAACCGTTGTGAATGGCCAGAGTGCGGAGAACAGGTGAAGTCATCCAACCTGGACTGCTGGCATCTCGTCACGTCAGCATGACATGCAAGACGGAACCTCATCAGAAGGTTCGTCGCACGCAAGAGGAGGATGCAGCACATCCGATGCCTCTCGCGCGCTGCGCTGCACATCCTTTGAAACTGCGAGAGGCTGGCGGCGGTGGGGCCTCTCCCCTGAAACCCGCGCGGCTCGTCGCGACGACACGCGAACACACCGGGGCCCACCAGGCTTCCTCGGGACTGCTTGCTCCTGGCGGTGGGATGAGCAGTCAAGACGTGCGAGCCAAAAGCGGCTCGCAGGGGCGGTCAAGTGGGATGGGGAAGCAGCAAATACGTGCTGGCCAACATCTTGCTGGCAATGGCGGCTGGTTGAGATGAGGCCTGCTTCGCCAGAGGGGCCTAAGCGGGATTACAGCACCAGACAGAACGGAGAGCTAGCTTGGCCAGAACAGAGACCTATCGGCGCCGATCAAACTCCTCCCACTTGTCCTCCTTTTACTCCTCTTCATCCTCCTCCTGAGGCGGGAGCAGCAGCTAGAGGAGGATGCGCCTGCGTCTTTCCACAGCGGCAACGTTGTTCTCGCGCAGACGCTGAAGTCGCTCCTTGTCCTGTGCGCGCAGCGGTGTCCCTGTGTGGGGCGTTCGCGTGACGGGAGAGTATGTACCCTCCTCCTCCCCCTCCTCCTCCTCTTCCTCCACATCCTCCTCCTCCTCCTCCTCCTTCTGCCCTCCTCCTGCTCCTCCTCCTCCTCCTCCTCCTCCCCCTCCTCCTCCTCTTTCTTCTCCTCCTCCTCCTCCTCCTCCTCCTGCTCCTCCTCTTCCTGCTCCTCCTCCTCCTTCTCCTCCTGCTCCTCCTCTTCCTGCTCCTCCTCCTCCTTCTCCTCCTCCCCCTCCTCCTCCCCCTCCCCCTCCCCTCCCCCTCCCCCCTCCTCCTCCTCCTCCTCCTCCTCCTCTCCTCCTCCTCCATCATCATCATCATCATCATCAGCATCATCATCATCATCATCCATCATCATCATCATCATTCTCCTCCTCCTCCTCTCCTCCTACACTCCTACACCTCCTCCTCCTCCTCCTCCTCCCTTTTCCTCCGCCGCCTCCTGCTCCTGCTCCTGCCGCTCCTCCTCCTCCTGCTGCTCCTCCTGCTGCTCTCCTGCTGCTCCTTCTTCTCCTCCTCCTCCTCCTCCTCCTCCTCCTCCTCCTCCTCCTCCTCCTCCTCCTCCTCCTCCTCCTCCTCCTCCTCCTCCCTCCTCCTCCTCCCCCTCCCCCTCCCCCTCCCCCTACTCCTCCCTCCCCCCCTCCCTCCCCCCTCCACCTCCCCCTACCCCTCTTCCTGCTCCTCATCCTCCCCCTCCTCCTCCTCATCCTCCACTTTCTCCTCCTCCTCGTCCGTCGTGCCCCTTTGCGAAGTGGAATCGGCCGACTGCTGGAGCGCAGCTAGTATGATAGTCGAGGCAGGCGCGCGACATGCGCGAGCTCTCAGACGCCCGCTCGACAGAATTCTCAACTAATGTGTACGCGCATCGTTCTCCTCCTCCTCCTCCTCCTCCTCCTCCTCCTCCACTTCCTCCGATTTCCTCTCTTCAGCTCATCCGCCTCCACACTCCACCAGAAGTGTCCTGAACAAACGACGATGTGAAATGACCCTGTTGGCGTGTGTGAGAGGCTTTTCCGACTGAATCGTCGTCGCCGTCGTTGTCGCTGTCAACGCTCCGCCATGTCCCTTTCTGCGGGCCAGCAACACAAGAAATCGAGCAACGCCGTAATCGAGTCATGGGAACCCTTTCACTTTGACCCCTTCCCTTTACCGTGGGGGTGGGTGGGTAATGGGAGGCGGTGGACCCCCCGTGGAAGAGTACCCCTCCCTGGCAGAAGCTTTCACCTTCGATTCCTTTCCTCCCAAGCGTATCCGGCTCCTCCCCTTCAGGGTCGGCGGCATCGGCCGTAAAGCCTTCACCATATCAGAAATGGACAAACTGAACGCGTTTAGCATTCACACTCAGAGAGAATCCGGAATAAACGGATATGTCAACACGAAAATCCGGGATAACGAAGTTCTTTATGATTCCACCATGCAGAAAATCCAAACGTTCTCCTGCACGAGAGCCAATTTCAACGCGAGTTTGTTCAGCAAACGTCGGTCTCAAACACGTGCATGTCGTCCGCCTTCAATCAACCGCGGCACAATCAATGGCAGGCTCTTGTTTCAAGAGCGAGCGCAGCAGACACTGACGAGCGCACAATGTTCGAGCGTTTGTCGCATACGAACGCGGGCCACCACACGGACTACACGGACCAAAAATCCATAGATTGTCCCGACCCCCCGTTTCGAGGATAGGAGCGGGTACACACGGCAACTATGGTTGAAATGCTTTGAAAGTGCCCGGATAAATCGCATGGCTCCCTGAGGCCTGGTCGCGGGTGTCGAAAGGGTGCCATCTGATGATTTGGGCATGACGTCCTGGACGCTAAAAAATTGTTCTTGCCATCCAGTGCTCTAACTATTCTCCCTGCAGTGCCCTGTCGAGGCAAGGTCTCTGGTCTCTTGCTGAGCACGGCTTCGTGCTTGATGCCACCGTTCGACGACGACAACGGCCCCGTCCCCTCCGCCTGCCCCCCTTCTGCCTGCCCCCCCCCCCCGCGGGCCCTGCGCCCGCGGCGTCGGGAGGAGAAGAAGGAGGAGGGAAAGGAGGAGGGGAAGGAGGAGAAGGAGGAGGAGGAGGAGGAGGAGGAGGAGAAGAAGGAGGGAAAGGAGGAGGGGAAGGAGGAGAAGGAGGAGGAGGAGGAGGAGGAGGAGGAGGACGGCGGGCTCTCCTGGCGCTGGCGCTCGCGGGCCTCGCGCTCCTCCTGGGGGCCGGAGCGCGGGAGGCGGCGCCTCCTCCCGCCCGCCTCCTCCTCCCCCCAACGAACCCCATCCTCTCTGCTCCTCCTCCTCCTCCTCCTCCTCCTCCTCCTCCTCCAACTCCTCTTCCTCCTCCTCCTCGTTCTGCTCCTCCTCGTTCTGCTCCTCCTCGTTCTGCTCCTCTCTCTCCCCGGGTCCTCGCCCTCCTCCCCTGCCTCCCCATCGGGCTCTCCCCCTCTGCCTCGTTCCTCCCTCGTCCCGCCCTCCTGTCCTCCATCTTCTCTCGCTCGTCTCCTTCCTCCGCCGCCTGCTCCTCTAAGTCCGCAGCCCCCTCCAGTTCTCTTGTAAGCATTGCCCCAACTCGTTGGCGTGCCACACCAACTAAGACTGTGGATGACAAACGTACGGAAGCATGCTTCGCAAATCTAGCTTGAAGTGCCATCGATGCAACTAACCAATCTACGAATCAACAACCACCCCTGCGGCGTGACGTGAGGCCTAGAACACACAAGCGTGATGTGTGATTGCGAGGCGTTTAACAAGTCGACCCCCGCGCCCTCGCCCCTCTGAACCACTGTAAGCCCCCCCCCCTGCCCCCCGTCGCCTTCGCCTCCCCCTCAAATGGGTAGCCTGGATGGCCCCGCCACCTCCGCCTCAGGGGATGCTGGGTTCGAGGAGAAGCGGCGCGTCGGAGCCGAGAGCAATCTACAGCGCGACGTTGTCACTCTGTGGCTCTCCACATGTCGAAATCAGTTTTAGGATTCTAGATTGGAAAGTGTCAGGTCAGGTTGGAGAGGGGAACGAAAGACTGTGCCAATGCTGCAGGTCCCCGCGTTACCAAAGCCTAGTTATGTGCATGCCAAACCTCTCCCCAACCCTCGGTGCATTCGTCCTGGTCGCGCTGGGTGAGGATAACCCGCTGCTCCGCTTCCCTGGTCGCCTGTAGCCGGCCGGAGTGGCGGGCATCAGGGAAAGATAATGACACATGTCCATCAAAATAACCAAGCGCATGTGTTACTATCGTAACCACCTTTTTGCGGGCACATCGCTGTCGCAGCCTGGAGAAGGAGGCATTGCGTTAACTTCCACGGGCAAACCGAAGGCGGCGGACATTATGTGGACGGGCCTGCACGCACACACGAACTCCTCCTCCGGGGCATTGCGGCAACGGCCGTTCGATACGTTCTACAGGTGGCACGCGCAAACTACAATTGTGATCGCTCGTGTGACGACCGCACTCAAGACGAAGCCGTACTCTCCTGGGTCAAGGGCAGGTCGAGGCGACGAATCTCCCTTCTTTTTTTTTTTTTCTCTCTCTCTCTCTCTCTCTGTCAGTCCCTCTCTCTCTCTCTCTTTCGCTTTCCCACACTCCCTTTAACGCCCACGAGCCACAACAGCACCAAACTGGTTGGTCATGACGCGTTGCCCAATGCGATCTACATTCGCAAGGTGCGATCAAGCGGAGCACAGCATCCGCAGAACAGCCAACACCACACGGTCGGCAGGGGGAAATGCAGGGGCAGGAAGATGTGATGAGCAGGCCGAACCTCATGCAACCATCACTGCTTATGGCCTTCGCCGCCCTGAAACGCCGCCTAGACTCTCCTCGTCCGATGGCAAACCAAGATGCGTTGGTACCAAGATGGTACCAGCAGAGCGTTGGTACCAAGATGCGACGCTCGCTAGTGCCTGACAATTAAATCATCCGCAGATATTGCAACTACTCTGCCCAGTTGCATCGGATCCTCACCCTGCCGAGGCCAGTCTGCATTCTACGGTGTTTCAAGCCCGCTCACGATCATGCCCCTCCTCCCTCTCTTCTCTTCAGCGCCCCCGCCCACCAATCCGACCAGCCCTCTGAGCGTAGGACGAGGAAGGAAGAGGGGAGGCGCTCGATCATTGAAGTAAGAAAACGTTTGAGGTATGCTGGGATCGGGGGCTCCAGAAAGATCTACTTTCAGCGACCTGCGTGAACCACACGCTGGAAGACTTCCGCCTCGCCGTGCGAGGCCTCTCGGGGGCCGCCTGGGGGGCTTTTGGCGCCAAGGGCGCTTGACATGGGGGCATCTCTTGGGGTCCTCGGGAGCCATCTGTGAAGGGGCCCTGGAACACACCAATGAATACACACGAATAAAAGGATTCCCCATATTTTCTCATAGTTTGGGTTTTTTGTCTTCCCCCCCACTTGCCATATGTTCCCATATCTTCTGGGAAATCGACGGTTACTTAAGTCTGTGTGTCTTTTTTCCCTCCTGAATCTGGAGCACAGGCGCAAGGCTCATCTTGGGACTCTCTCTGGCCCTGGTGAACCTCCCGGTATCTTGAGGGCCTCAAGAGCCCTCCCAGAGCCAAGGAAACGAGAGGGGGACATGGATGATCTTCCTAGATTAGGGGGGCGAACAAACCTACCTCGCTTTTGACCACCCTCGCTTCCAAGAGATACCAAGCGATGCCAAACTACGGCCTGTCCTGATCAGGCCACTTGACGAGGAGGCGCGTGGTATGACTTGGTTTTGCCTGGAAGCGAAAGCGGGGTAGGTCATTCACGCTCTGATAGATTGTGGACGGCGCTGGGCCTCTCGGGGACCCTCGTGGGCCGACCTGGAGGCTGTCTGGGAGGATTTTGGACGTCAGATCTTGCCTCGTCTTGTCTTGCCTTTCCTTGTCGTGGGTCGTCTCGGTGGTGTCTTGGGGCGTCCTGGAATTCGTGACACGCTTGTCCCGTCGGGCCTGGGGACTGGGGGGGGCCGCCCGCCTGGCCAACAAGAAACACACCGCAAGACTTTCCTTCTCGCCTGACCCACGTCTGAGGGCAAAAACCAGTGTAGACCGTCGCAGCGCATGTGGACATACCACATACCATATACGTGAAAGTACCACACTGTGGGGATGCAGCCATGGATATATCATATGTAGACATCTGAACCCAGAAGAGACCAGGGTGGGCGATTCAATGCCGTTCAAGATGGAATTGCTGTCGATGTGAGGCTTGTTGGACGCATCTTGTGTCCTGTTGGTGAGCCTCTTGAGGCCCGTTTGAAATCGTTTTGGGAGGCAAGGCAAGGCGAGGCGCGCCTGAGTCCGCCGGGGAGGCGGGGCCTGGAAGGCCGGCGCGGGCGGCCGGGGCCATCAGTTGCAGATGTGGAACTTGTGGTCAGTGTTGTGTGTGGCGTAGGAACGCTTGTTCCAAATTGCTCCATTGAGTGCTGTCCTGTGCTACTGTAAATCATCGCTCGCTTCAAACATGTTTGCTGTCAGACCCCCGTGTCTGCGGATTGCTTTCAGGAAATCGTGGATGTCCGACTCTCACGTCGCAGCAAATCGGGCCCATCAAAGTCGGAATTTGCAGAATACCTTCAACCATTCCGCCAACATCAAGATCGTGAGCTGGAATCGAAAAGGCGGGAGCTGGAATCGGATCTGGGGTCGGGGAGGCGGGATGGGAGCTGGAGTCGGAGAGGCGAGAAATGGAATTGGAGCCGGAGTCGGAGAGACGGGAACCGCAGTCGGAGCCGGAAGCGGAGAGATGGGACGGGCGCCAGAGTTGGAAACCAGGGAGCTGGAATCAGAGCTGGAGTCGGACAAATGGGCGCCGAAATTGGAAACGGAGACTTAAAGATGGACGGGAGCTGGAATCGTATAGTCGGGGGCCGGAACCAGGGCTGGAGTCGGAGAGATGGGAGCCGGAGTCGGAACCAGAAGGAGACATTCAAGCATTCCTGTCAAAACAAAAAATCGAGGTCGTGAGCCGGAATCGGAAAACCTTCAACCATTCCTGCCAACATAAAGATCAGGATCGTGAGCCGGAGTCGGAACAACGGGAGCTGGGATCGGAACCGGGGTCGGGGAGATGGGACGGGAGATCGTCTTGGGGGAGAGGAGCCCAGACAGGGCCCAAGATGGCCCGTCGGCGCCCGACAAGGGGGACCTCCCCGAACGACCCCCGCTCACACTTGAGCACCGCCAGTCTCCCAGATCGGCTGGGAGCGGCCCCCGAGCGCCCCCGGGAGAGAGCCCCCACGAGAGAGAGGCCGCGGAGCGCCCCCAAAAAAGGCAGCCCCCGAAGCGCCACACACACGGAGGGCCCAGCGCAGAGGCCCCAGGAGCCAGTGGCCTCCGTTGGGGGGGACACACGCGAACCATACCCCCTGCCCCCCCACGATTTCTGAGGGAAAGGGGGTTCCCTTCGCTCGGGAGCTCCGGAGCGAAGCGAACCCCGCCCTCCCCCTCAGAAATCGTGGGGGGTAGGGGTAGGGTTCGCGTGTGGCCCCCTATCCGTGGGGCGGCGCGGGGTGCCTGCGCGCCCCTTCGCGCTCGCGAGCACCTCGGGAGTCCACCAGACGGGCCGTCGCGGCGCCCCTGCGGGACTCCGCCACGCGAGACGACACGGAAGAGGATCCGTGCCAGTGGCATGAGCATCGTTGCAACGGTCCCCATACAGGCGCATTTTCGACGAAGAACAAGAGAACTCGTCGAAAACACCGCTCCGAACTGGTCCAACATATTTGTATGACTATCTTTGAACATTATGTAACATTCCTTCTGTAGAGGGACAGGCCCAACTTATCTGCACCCCCCTCCGCGCGCGGCCGCCCCGCGCTGAGTATCGTTTCAACGATCCCCATCCCCAGCGGCGTGGCCTGGGCCCCGCTGGCCGATGTACCCCCCCCCGATGGGGATAGAGGCCGTTCCCCTCGGGCTCCGAGGGGTGTGTCCCCAACTGGGGGGGGGGGTACTTTGGTGGGGCTCTCGAAGGGGGTGGGGATGGGGATGGGGGTGGGATGACCGATGCTGAGGATAGGCGGCTGCCCTCCCCATCTGTTCGAGTGCACGTTCCGACACCGTCCTGGTCACGGCGCCTCGCCCAGGGAGCGACGATGGCTGGGCCGGCGGAGGCACGCGAGGCGCCCAGGAGACTTCCCTGCGCGCCATCCTTCCCGCCCCGCCCTCCGCATCCCCGCCTCTCTCGCGATCGTCTCCTCCTACACGTCGTCGCCATCCTCCTCGTCATCTAGCTTCCCCTTTCGGATGTTGCTGGAAGTGCCCCTGGCCCAAGGTGCCCACGGCTCTTCGCTCCACTTTGGAGACCCTGGGGCCCTCTGGACCTCGTGAGGGGTGCCCTGGAGACCGTCCGGGCCACCCCGAGAATCCTGGGGGTGCCTCGGGCCAGGGGTACTACTTCTAGCAACACCCGACCCTTCCTCATCGCCCAACTCGTCGCCCCGCGAAGGCGATCGGCTGCACGAGGCGCGACATGCACCCTCCCCGAAGAAGATGCAAGCAAACGGGCGGCGTCCCGCTGCAACTCCTTCTCCCTGATCTGGGCACGGTATTCCTCCCTCCGCCCATCTCGGCGCGCTCGACAAAGAGTCTGCCGCGCGCGTGTGCTAGAAGCTTGATACCGCCATGCACGATGCGGATGTAGACAGCAAGCGTGATCACACCGAAGCTCGCACGCCACGTCAACTCAACCGACGACCAGCGAACAAACAACCGATGGTGATTACCAAGACACCGACACACGAGACAGTCTCCGTCGACTCACGGGGGGATTCGAACTGTGAATGCCACGCGTTATGCGGAGAACTTGTTGTGCGCTGATGTCGGCAAGAACCCGCGCGGAATGCGAGGGGTTCTCGTCACTGTTACCACCAACACACGGTCTTTAACACTATCGGTCCAATAGCTGATCGAGTCCCTGCTCGGCCTGAAAGCATGCCCAGGAGAGCACCAATACAGTGATTACATCATTGAAGGCAGAACCCGCCGCACAATTTTATGGCATAACCATAGAGAAAAACCGCTCCGCGTCAGCATGCTCCATGGCACGCCGAGGCGTGCTGGAATGCTGGGTGATGCCAGGTGGGGTTTGTACAATCTTCTCAGGCCCCCCCCCTCTACTGGCAGCGTGATGCTTGCACCGCCTCCCTCCCCATGTGCTCCTGTGGGCAACTCGACTCGACGCCTCCCCGGCGTTCTCCAAAGCAGCGCCCCAAGTGCCCGGCATTGCGGCCAGGGCGGCCGAAGTAAACTGCCGACGCCGCCAAGATGGCCCAAGATGCCTTCACGACGGCCTCCTGTGGCAGCGGGGCAACATGGCCTCGAGGCGGGGCGGTGCCGAGGCTTCCAGTGCGGCTCACGGGGGCCCCCAGAGGGCTGGCAGGCAGGCCAGAAGAGGCCAAAATCATTCACCGAACAGTGTTTGCACGTAGGGGTTCTCTGAGCATTTTCTTAGGGTGGAGGGCTCAAGGTGAAATCCGTGTGGGCCTCTGCACCTCGAAAATCAATCCGTCGTGTGTTCACCTTTCGCAGATTCAGGCCTCGAAACTCCATCGAAACGGCATTTCAGATTTCACCCATTGCCCTCCACCCAAAGACAATGATCGGGTTTTTACTTGTGCTAAGAAGTTGGACGGGTCGTCAAGGCTTCGCCACGGCGACGCAAACTGCCGCTCACTCTGGGAGCTCCGTCAACAGTTCGCCACGTTGCCGCCCCTTGCCGCCCACTCTGGGAGCCCCGTCGCAGTTTCGCCGCGTCGCAGCCCGTTGCCGCTTCGCTGCAGCCTACTTTGAAGGGGCCCTGGGACACGCAAATAAATGCACGCAAGCAACAGGATTCCCCACATCTTCCCATATTTTCGTGGGTATTGTCTTTCCCCCCACTTCCCAGATCTTCCCATATCTTCTGGGGAATCGACGATTCATTGTGTCTGTGTGCTTTTTCTCCTCCTGACACTGAGGGGGGGTCTGTCGATGACTCGCCGCGTCGCCGCCCCGTTGCCGCCTCGCACTCGGGGACGCGCGGCGCCCGCCCATCACTGCCGAGTCGGTGCCGACCACCGCGCGTGGGGTGCCCGTCTAGGTAGCACCAGAAGTACCTTACTCGGGTCGGGCGAAAGGGGGGGATAGCAAAGGGGGGGGTTGATAATCAGCTCATGTAGCTGATTTTCCCGGCGCCTCCCGGCGCCGGGAGCGGCCATGTATCGAGGAATTGGCCCTTCGGTGAGGCCGAAACCAGCTGCATGCAGCAAATTTCGTAACCCCCCCTTTCCCAATCCCCCCCTTTCGCCCGACCCGACTGACGCCACACCTCGCCATCGCTCGGACGTTCATTTTTTGTGTTTTTGTTCGGTTTCGTGCGTGGTTTTTTCGCCAAATGGTCAAGGATGCTCCTCGATGGTCCTCGCCGAGAAAAAAATGCACACGTCCGAGCGATGCCAGGACACAGCTTGCACAACCTAGCTGACACCACCAAATCCACACTGCAATGACTTACTGATCGGGGTGCACGCTGCCAGCACCGCTTGTCCGTAGGTCGGGCTGTCACTGCGTCTGGCTTCCGACAGATCCAGGCGGCACAAAACGGGCCCCAGGCGGCCCAAATGAGCCCTCAGACTGCCCGAGAAGCCCCCGCGGCGGCCCAAACGAGGCCCAAGACGGGATTCGCAACGGGGCCCTAGGATGGCGCAAGAGAGCCCCAAGACGGCCCAAGAGCGCCCCAAGACGGCCCCAGAACGCCCCGAGACGACCAGCGAGGGTCTCGAGGTACCCCCACGACGGCCCCACAGGAGGCCCCAGCACACGACACCGAGCAGCATCGGGGATCTTCTGACCCGGGTCAATCCAGACCCGGGTTAGCAGGAAACCATAAAACTGCAATGCAGGAAAACAAACTACAACGCAGGTCTTCGCAAACCTGGGTCAGCCAATATGCGCGGCCGCCTCGCGGCCACGAGCGGCTCGCTAACCCGGGTGAGCCAGAGGGGGTCTTCGCAGGATCCTGCAGGATCCGGCGCCCTGGCTGACCTCCGTTTGCATTGACCCCCGTCTCTTGAGCCCCGACAGCAGGCCGCGCGACACAGCTTCCGGACGGCCAGGAGCGAAAAAGCGTGACGGGTGCACGCCGCCCGCGGCGTCGGTGCTCGAGAGGCCGGCGCGCAGAGCGTTTTGCGCCGACGCGGCGGCGGGACCTGCCGCAGGCAGCCGGACAGAGCTCAGACGTTTTTTAGCAGAAGCACCCGCCCCTCTGAGGCCCAAGCAGGTATCGGGACATCCTCGGGAGCGGCCAAGAGGGGGGTGTCCAAGAGGGGGGGTGCAAATCATGACCGGCGGCATGTGCGCGGCCCAGCGGGGGGGCCAGGGACGTAATGGAATAAGAAGAGGCGCCATGAAATCTGGGGAAGTATCATGGCCCACGTCATAATATCCACCCCCCCTTAGTCATCACCCCCCTCTTTTCCGCCCCCGACATCCCCACGGCGGCCTGGAGAGGGCTCCAAGGACTGGGTCGAGTGTTCGGGCACATGAGTGCGTGTCGGGGCCGCGCCCCTGAACACATTTACAGATCCGGATGCTTGCCTGCTTGTTGTCTCCTGGGAACCGAAACCCCGAGGACTGTCAAATTGAATCGGAATCGAGCCCCAACGATATCGAGACGGCGCCTGAACACACTTCCATCGGCAAGAGCATTGAAATCTCTGCTTCGCGTCGTGCTTGTGCTATCCTCCTAATCCTCGGCCTCCCCTCTCCACCTCCGCCCCTCCTCCCTATCCTTGCCGCGTCCCCCTCCCTCTTCAAGAACCTTCATTTGGAAAAGTCGATTTTCTCACAGACCTGGCATGGTGTGCCTACATGTCCCCAAAACAACTCACCGTTCCCCGAAGTGCTAAGAGCTTGGCCAATACCAAAAGGATGTCAACCTTCTGGGGTTACACCTGGACCTGGTGTCCGAAACGTGAGAGAGGCTCAGTGACGAGTTGCTGCAATGCTATCAGGGGGATGACAAGATGGAATGAAAAGGGATGGGGGGAAGGAAGAGGAGATCGAAAATCCCCGGCTTACGACCCAACGTCCTTCATGTGCTGGTTCTCGCGCTCCTCCCGTGCCAGCCGCATCTCCTGGGGCGCGTGGATGCTTATTCTTCTTACTGCGCAAATTGCACCCCGTTTCCAAGTATTCACGGTAACGCCCGTGACCGGCCCCGACACCACCCTCCCTCCTCCCAGTAACGTCACGAGTCGTTACTGGGAGGAGGGAGGGTGGTGTCCTAAGCAATCCCGAAGCCCTAAGCATTCGCAAACGCCGGCGCTGGCCCGAATGGTGAAGTGACAGGCCCCATCCCCCCCTCCCCCAGTCACGCCCGTTATCGCCAAGGAACTAAAAGCGGTCGACTAGGGTCTTGCGCAGCCAGCCGAATGTGACTGTTAACTCAATGAAATGTTCAAACCATGGAGAAGATGTAATGTACGCAATCTCCTAGGGCGAGTGCTTCGGCCTGCTATGATCTGGGAGGCCCTATCACCAGCGTCCAGCTAATGAGCTTCGAAGATTCATGCAGAAACCGAGCTCGCGTCTTCTCTACGGCCTGCTTCGCAGTCAACCTCAAAAATAGCAAAACAACAGGAAAACGTCCCGTCACGTTCTTGGGACATCAAGGGTGTGATTCGCAAGGTAGTCAACCTCGACGTTGAAAACCAGCCTTTACACCGCAGGGTCCCCGTGAAGTTGGTGGTGCAAGCGCTCTCTTGCGAAACTCCTAAAGTAGTCCAACATTCGTGAAGAAAGACTGGAATCACGCTTGCTGTATGTGAAATTCTGCTCATGCCACTATCAACCAAGAATTTGAGATCGCAGACAATTGCAATCCCGGTCGTCCGGACATCCCCTCTGTAGCGGATCGTCCCTGCATATGGGAGTCAAGAAGCGCGTCAAGAAGATGTCCGTTTACGCGCGTGTGCTTGTATGGAGGCTCCCGCGGCGCCTCGTCAGCCAGATCGTTGTTTCTTGTGGATCCTCCAGACTGCACCGCTTCACGCTCGCAGTAACCTCCACGTGATCAGGACGCCAACTGCTCCAAATGCACTGCCCTTGCCTTCGTTTCGCCATGTGGGACAACCATGTGCAACCATCTGGCCCTCAGGCGATCCTGGCATCGACTCGCCGGTCCTGAAGGGTGGGTGCTTCGGGCTGCCGCCCGAACCCTGGCGGCGAGCACCAGGGGGCAGGGGGGAGGGGGGACCGCTTCGGAGAAGGAGGCCGCTTCTTGGAAGGCGCAGGCCTGACATTCACTAGGGGAACAGAAAGACACACAACTGACATACACAAAAACTGACAGGCCTGACATACACAAAAACTCGGAGGTCCGCGTGGATTTCTCGGATCGGCGCTACGACCCCCCTCCCTGGCGCGCGGAACGCGCTAGGGGCGGCGCCGGAGGCGCCGTCCGGGGGGCCCAGGCGCCGATCCGAGAAGTCTGCGCGGACCTCCGAGTTCTTATGTTTATGCCACTTTTTGTTCCCCTCCTCCCCTGCAGCCTGGGTAACGCCCAGGGGAGGGGGAGGAGGAGGAGGTGGAGGAGGAGGAGGAGGAGGAGGAGGAGGAGGAGGAGGAGGAGGAGGAGGGGGAGGAGGAGGAGGAGGAGGGCCTCGCCTGCAAAGAGGCAGGGGTGCTCACGAGACGCCCTGCCTGCCCCCCCCGCGCCCCCCTCCACACCCTCTGCGCGTGGCCGAGTCGGCCTCGCCAGGTGCTGAGGCGTGGCCGAGTCGGGCTGCCACCCAAAAGCGCAGAGTGAGATGCCGTCGGCTGCCCCCCCCCAAAAGAAGCGCCAGGAGGCCCCCAGGAGGCGTCGCAAGAGGCCACCGGGAGGCCAAGATCATGGATCTCCGATGGGGAAGGATGCACTCTTAGCATGCACGGCTTCTCGGCTTTCAGAGCGTTGAAGACGGTCCAAGAGGCCCCAAAGACCGCCCCAAGACGGCCCGATGCGGGCCACTCGGTGCCTCTGTCGGCATGCTGTGGACGTGTCAGGGCCAGTGCAAGCGTCACAGTGACCCGTCCCGACCAATTCGCGTACAGTCAGAACTGCTGGTAAGGAGGCGCGATAGGAACGCAAGAATCTTAGACGCCCATGTCAAGACTTTTCGAGCGGGGATGGCCGTTGAAAAGTGTTACAGATGGACCGGGGAGGTAAGGATGCAATGGCACTCTTGGAAAAATTACCCATCCTTACCATCGGCTTCGACTATAGAGGGCCGACCGACTCGTGCCTTTTCCGACACAACCTGATGAGCAACACATGCGCGAATCACAACAGCGGCACGCAGCGCGTATTTGAAAGATCGTGTCCTCCCCCCTCAGCTCGACTCAAGCTCTGCTGGGCAGTGGGTTGACCCTCTTAGGGATCGCACCACTTTCTTGCGCGCGTCAGTGCCAAGGGCAGCTTCAGCGCAGACTCCTAGATTAGACTCGGAGGCCCCCACCTCTTTCCCGGCAAGGGGGATGAAGGCAGAAGAGGCCTTCGCCTTTCTCCACGAAAGAAGAAAAGGAGACCCAAGCGACACGGCCCCCTCGAAGCCCAGCCGAGTATCGACCTCGCGAATGCCTCACGCGCGAGCAGCATGGGCGGAAGGGGCCAACTCGCCGCGTCTGCCTCATCTCAATCTTCCTCCACTCTGGTCCTCCTCCGCCCTCCTCCCCCCTCCCTCTTTCTTCCCCCTTCCTTCTCAGCCCCGTTCCTCATTCAATTCCGCCACACTCATCCTCGGTGCTCGATCCAAGGCTGCATTGTCGAGACACGCGCACGAGGCTAGCAACTCGAAAGCGCCAATAATAAACATAACGATGCACTACGAGCAGGCTCCGTGGTGCCAGGGCATCAGATGTGTGGCCTCCTTCTCGTCCTCATCCATGTGCACCTCCTCATTCCGATCTGGACCAAAACTATGGACAATGATCGCTTCCAAGGCGCATACAAAAACAATTATCCTCCTCGGCCTCTTCCCCCCATCATACTCCTCTCCCTCTCACTTCATCTCCCCCTCTTCTCCTCCTCATCCTCTCCCCCCCCTCTTCCTCATGCTCCGTCAGGAACTCCAAGCCCAAATCCCAGGAACACACCAATCATGGCCCGACAGCGGCAAGGGCTTGCGGGGCGGGCACGTGCGAACAAAGAAAGCGCGCGCGTGGGAATCTCCTCGATCCTGACCTCGCGCTGCTTTTGCAGAAGGGCGATCTTCTCCTGTCGGGTCCGACGAAAGGGAGAGATTCGATGGCGACATCCGAACTCCCCCCCCCGCAACCACCGGTTTACCTGAATCCATGGGAGGCGGGGGTAGGATTCGGATTTCGTGACGTGTTTGACGAGTTCCAACCCTACCCCCGCCGCCCGTCCAGTTGCCTGACATCGTTGACAGGCGAGGGCAGGGTTTGGATTTCGCCGCCGAAGTAATTAACATAGAGGGGGGCGGCGAATCAAACTTCAGGCACTGCTTTCCTGGTAGCCTCCCTCCCCCCATGCCAGGGGCGACCACGCATCGAAGAGGGCACCCGGAGGCGGGCCCGAAACTGGCTGCACCCAACATGTATCGGCCCCACCCTTTTTCCCAGTCCCTCGCCACCCACGAACTGATCCCTATCCCAGACCCTGGGGCTGGCGAGCCAAACTGCGATGACGATCTCAGGGCTTCGCCTTCAGAAGCAAGCTGAGGGGATCCTGAAGATCGGCACTCGAATCGGGCGATGTCGGAATGGGGATGGGGGTATGCTTCAGGCCGGTACACGTCGGTCGGAGGAAGTAGGTAAAAACATGAACTGGGAAGGCGGATCAAGTAGACTGGGCCCAGTCTCTCCCAGAGAGTAACAAAACACAGCAAACACGTATCGGCTCTTGAAGTAGGAAGGCGCCTGAAGTAGATTGGGATCTGGGGATCCAAACATACCCGCTTTCAACGACCGGCGTGTATGCTGCAGGCCGGTAATCGGGCTGGGCGAAAGGGGGGGATAGCAAATGGGGGGTTTGAGAATCAGCTCACGTGGCTGATTTTCCCGGCGCCTCCTGGCGCCGGAGGCGGCCATGCATCGAGGAATGGGCCCCTCGGTGGAGCCGAAACCAGCCGCATGCAGCAGATTTCGTACCCCTCCCTTTCCCAATCCCCCCCTTTCGTCCGGCCCGAGGTGAGTGTCCCCCCGTTCGTCCGTCCCCATCCTGCTTCTCGAGGTCCGCCCGCATCTTCAGGTCCACCTGGGAGACCGCTCGGCCCCCGCAGGGGCCGGCCCAGGCGCGGCCACCACCGGGCGGCGGCCACGACGAGGGCACGTGAAGCAGCCAGCTCTCTGCAGCGGCGCGGCCCCTCCCCTCCTAAGAAGCTCGTGCGCACGGACGACCTGCCTGACCACCGCAACCCCAACCCGAAGACCCGAATTTCGGGTTGGTTGGGGGGGGTATACGGGTTCCGCGTGTGTTTTTCAAAATGTTCCCCGCCCCCCCCCCTTCCCCCGGAAATGGAGGGCGAAGCGAGGCCTTCGGGTTGGGTTGGGTTGCTTTAGTGGGTCCTCCTCCCTCCCTCTCCTCCTCCTCCTCCTCCTCCTCCACATCCTCCTCCCTCCTCCTCCTCCCCTCCCCCTCCTCCGCCTCCTCCTCCCCCTCCTCCTCCTCCTCCTCCTCCTCCGCCTCCTCCTCCCCCTCCTCCTCCTCCTCCTCCGCCCCTCCTCCTCCTCCCTCCTCCTCCGCCTCCTCCTCCCCCTCCTCCGCCTCCTCCTCCCCCCCTCCTGCTCCTCCTCCTCCTCCTCCCCTCTCCTCCTCCTCCTCCTCCTCCTCCTCCTCCTCCTCCTCCTCCTGGTGACTCACGAGCCCCCCCGCAGCAGCCCACGGGGAGGGCTCGCGCACGCAAGCGATCCGCCGGGCCGCCGCCGCGTGCGCGCGAAGGTGCGCGCTGGGGCGCGGCCTGCGCGGCCTGCGGGCTCCGCGGCAGCAGTAGGCCGGCCCAGCTCGCCAGCGGGCGCCCGCGGCGGCGCTGTCGCCGTCGAGGGCCCCGTTCGGGGCGCTCCGTGCCCGAGGCACACCCGGGCAGCTCGAGCCCGAGCCTGGCCCTCCCCTTGCAGCCGCTCCCATGCGGCCGTGCTTCGCGGGCGCCACGGCGCACGCGCGCAAGCATATAAAAAATGCCCGAGGCCCAGAGAAGTGTGTGTGATGGAACACGAAAACTGATGCTACAACACGAAAACGAATGATACGAATGTTAAACATCGTCATGCGCAACTCGGCGCTTACCCGCAGTCGAGCTCAATCTGCGACCAATCTTGCCACGCCAACGCTTATCCGCATAGAAAACCACATAACGAAATAGACATAGAAAACAAGAAAGAGAGAAAGATAGAGAGAGAGAGAGAGAGAAAACGAGAGAGAAAGAGAGAAACAGCACACAAACACACAGCACAAGATAATCGAGACTGAGCCGGAAGAGAAAACGAACGTCCATACAAGTTCGCCGACCCCTTCGGCCCAGGCGTGGGGGATAGGGAACGTCTGTCTGCCACTCCCCAAGCCCATCGGTTTGGGGGCGATTGTGCTGTTTCGGGGGGAGAGGGGGGACGGGGTGACAGACCAGCTCTGCGCGTTCAATCCATCCTCTGGGCAACTCTCGGGTATCGCTGGGGCGGACACAGGTGCTCCCAAACCAAATTGAGCCACGACCGCCGCGCGCGCGGCGGCCCTGGCCCCTCCAGCCCTGGCGTCGGTGCTCATGCTGAGCGGGCCGCGGAGGCCGCGCGCACAGAGATCCTCGCCTCTTCGAGCGCGGTGCATGCTGCAACTGCCGCGCCAGATGGGGCCGGGGCCGCCGCGCGCGCAGCGGCTCCAACCGCATACGTCCACGACGCGATTGCTGGACCTCTGAGACCTGGAACGGTGAAACTCTTATGTACCCACAGTACGTTGTGGACCTGTGAGGGCTCAATCATGTTGATTTTCCTGGAGGGAACCTTCGGCAATTTTGGAGCCGTAAAGGGGCGGACGTGGATGCATCTGGAACCCCATCGGAGACACCGTGCAAACCTCCAGTCCCATCTTGGATCCATGCCGTGGGCGTTTCGTGGAGCCTCTTGGGGCGTTCACTCCTCGGGCAGTCTTGAGGCAACTTGGAAAGCTCTTAGATGTGCTGGTGGAATGCTGAAGTTGCAGTGGGCTGATGTTGGGCCGTGTTGGGGCCGTCTTGGCGGACATAGGACGCGTGCCGGATCAAGGCTCTTTTGAGCGGTCGGGGGGGTATGATGCACGAAGTGTGTGCGGGGGGTCGAAGTGTGGCTCCCTAGAGCTGATTCGGACACCAGCTGAGGGCTCTCGGGGCCCATTGGGCAGAAAGCGCGAGGGATCTGTACCTACAAGTAACCCAGAGTAGCTCCCTTGAGACATAATGGACGCAAGCTGAAAGCCTCTGGGGCATGACGTGCGTCAAGAGTGTGTCGAACGAGGTTCCCGCCCCCTCACAAGGGAGAGCCTATCGAAGACCATGTGGCACGACGTGAGTGAGGGGTGCGCTGAACTCGGGCTCCATGAACCATCTTCCCTGTAAACTGAAAACTTTTGCGGGGGGGGGGATTTTGTCGAATAGGGCCTCAGCCAGAAGCCTCTGGGAGCCCATCAGGCACGAAGTGCGTGAGCGGTGTTTTGAACTTGATCTGAACAACAACATCCTCGAAAGGGAACGGGTGCACATTTCGCGCCGTGACCGCGACGAATCTGGCGACGGGGCCACGGTGCCAGGTAACACCCCAGGAAGCATTAAACTTAGAACCATATAGCGAGAAGTTCAGGAATGTGTTCTTCAAAGGCTACCCCTCCACAGATGCGGGAACGTGAAACTCGGACGGCTTCAACTTGAACTCAGTCTACCCATTGAGCTCTGAGCAAGCGCAAATGTTGTGTACTTTCGCGCGGCCACGGAGAACTTCCATGCGCGAGCGCACTGCTTCAAGCGGCTTCGTGTACAACCACATGCCGAGGTTTATGATACGGCGATGGCGCAGCATACCTCAGCACGTGGCGCCAACTAGAGGCGCCTTTTCGAGGGGCGTGAGCAAGCAACCCCACTTTTGCATCCCAAGCGCACGTGTGCCCCGCCGCTAGCCTGGAACAAGGCCGATCACGGGAAATACCGATTGCAGAAACGACGGAATAAATATATATATATATATATATATATAGAGAGAGAGAGAGAGAGTGCTGTTATATGCCCTCCTTGGTACGTGGAGGCGCAGTAGGATGACGAGTGCTGCCTGCTAAATTCTGCACGTCTTCTGGGTGGGGCCACAGACTGTCGCACGCCTCCCTCCTCCTCACGGATCTCCCCAAGCGCAAGGATGCCTCCCTGGCGCTCGCCCTCAGAGGTATCCAAGACGGCCGATGCAGGCCACCGAGGCCGACAGGATGGCCCAGCACTGCCTCAGGAGGCACCTCACAGCTGTCGCATATCCGAACTCCCTCCGACGAGGGCATCAAATATACCCCTTCAAACCCCCATCCCTCAGGACACTCTCCAGGACGCCCTTGAGAAGCCAAAACTGAACGCCTCTCCACAGAAGGCAACGCAGGACAACCACCTCGTCTAGAATACTCTTCTCGTTGTCCCTGGCGGCGGTGTCGACCGCCTGCGCCTTGTGGGCACGCGCACCAGGCAAACGCGGATGCAAGAACAACGCCATCGTCACCAGTTCCGCGCCATCGGAGGGAGGACGGATGATGGAGGAGTGATGGAGGAGGGAGGAGGTGGGGGAGGAAGCAGGAAGGAGGGAGGATGGAGGATTGAGAAGAGAGGAGGGATACGGGAGGAGGGAGGAAGGAGGATGGATGAAGGATGGATGGAGAAGGGAGGATGAAGGATGGATGGATGAGGAGGGGGGCTCAGAAATCACAGCATCAAGGAAAGCAAAGACTCTACGTAGGAGACATGACATCATCGACAAGGGAATCCCACACGTGTTCACACGGTGATGGCAGAAGCAGTTTACCAGCAGTTTACCAGCCTACGCTGGGCACCTCCTCATCACGATGCCAATCTTAGGGATTCCCTTATCTTTTGAGGGCGGATCCCTAAGATGGTCATCGCCTTCTTGGCGTGGCAATCTTAGGGATAGGGATACGCTCGAGGATGGGAAGCGGTGCGCAGCCTCGACTCTCCGAGGCCCGCTGCGGGCGTGCCCCAAAAAAGCCCGTCCAGACATGTCACCGAGACGGGGCGGAGAACGAAGGGGAGGAGACCCTGCACCACAGTGGGGGCTCGGCCACAAGAAATCTCCGCCAGACACCCAACCCTGAAATCCGCGACTTGTTCGGTGAAAACCCAGCTTTGTCGATCGAAAATCGCCAAGATCATGTTGGGGGCACATCGAAATCCAAGAAACCCAGGGCACCCTGGCAAAATCCAAGTGGTTTCTTGGCAAACGCCCCCACCGTAGCCTGTTCAACAGCTGCCGGCGCCAACGCGTCGATGCTGCCCCCGAGCTACAGTCGGGGCGTTGACCGAAGGAACCCAAAGGAAGGAGCGAGGCCCCTTTTTCCATAAGTTAACCTTCGATTCCCTGTCGAGAACATACGAACAGCCTGAGGCAAGCCGTGAAACACTCGAGGAACGCGGAGCCCCTCCCCAACGAAAAAGGGTTCCTTCTCCAGGGCCCCGACTGTAGCCTGCTCCAGCTGCTGGCGCCAACGTGCCGATACAGTAGGGGCCCTTCCACAAGAAACCTTCCACAAGAAACCCAAGCCTGAGACCCCAGGACGTCCATGGACTATTGGTGTGGGAGCGCCACGCTTCCCATGGCAAAACCATCGAAACCCAAGAAACCCAGGGCACCCTGGGGGTAAGCAGGGTGTTTCTTGGCATGGGCCTCCACTGTAGCCTGTTCCAGCTGCTAGCGCCAACGTGTCGATCCTGCTCCCGAGCTACCCGAAGAGGAAGGGGGGAGGTGAGGGTAGGAGGAGGACGGGCAAGAACAGCCGGCATCGAGAATCGGAACATCGGGTCGGATCGGACCGCGCACCGCATCGGGCCACCATCGGCCCGGAGTCGAAAAATCGAGTCGGATCGGCGGCGTCAGCATGCAGCGCCAGGCAAGCATCGGGGCGCATCGGATCGACCAAAAATATAGTAATCGGTCGACTCGAATCGGGCCAGCCGGAGTCGATGTCGAATGGGATCGATCGGATCAGAACGGCACTCTGGGCGGTGAAGGAGAGCGACGAGAACGACGAGATACAAAACTCCTCGCCCTCCTCTCTCTCGTCCTCCCTCCTCCCGGAGAGCGTGGGAGGCGGAGATCCATCCACGTCCACCGCCTGGGAACCGACGTCCTGGTGCCCCACTTGGCGGTGTATATGGATGTATGTTGGCCTCCAGATAGGGGAACAAAAAATTGCATAAACATAAAAACTCGGAGGTCCGCGCGGATTTCCCGGATCGGCGCTGGACCCCCCTCCCTGGCGCGCGGAGCGCGCCAGGGGCGGCGCCGGAGGCGCCGCCGGGGGGGCCCCCGCGCCGACCCGAGAGATCCGCGCGGGCCTCCGAGTTTTTATGTTTATGTCACGTTTTGTTCCCCAATTATGGCAGGGCCTCGCCTGCAAAGAAGCAGGGGTGCTCATGAGAAGCCCTGCCTTCCCCCCTCGCGAGGACCGAACGTGTCCACATCGCCTGTGCAGGTCCGCGAAGGTCGATCCCCCAGGCGGTGGCTGCGGAGAAAGCCTCCCCCCCCGCCCCCCCGGCAGAGGAAGAGGGCAGGCGAGGAGGGGGCGCCGCGCGTGCCGAGAGGCGCAGGACGCAGGCACGACGCCGCGGCGCTCGAGGCCCCTCCCTCGGCAAGCGCCCAGCGAATTCCAGCGAATTCCTCCTCCTCCTCCTCCTCCTCCTCCTCCTACTCCCCCTCCTCCCCCTCCTCCTCCTCCTCCTCCTCCTCCTCCTCCCCCTCCTCCTCCTCCTCCTCCTCCTCCTCCTCCTCCTCCTCCCCCTCCTCCTCCTCCGCCTCCTCCTCCTCCAGAGTCGCCAGCGCTCCCAACGGCTACCGCAGCCTCGGGAATTCAGCAAAGAGTACTGGAACTGGAGATCCAGATTTTCGGTAGACTGATGCGGAGAGCAGAAGTAAGGAGGGGGTGGAGGGGGAGGATGCGGAGTGGGGGAGGGAGGCTCGCGGGGTGCTGTCTCTTCAAAACGAGGACCCAACAGGATGGTTGGGAACAACACATTATCAGAGTGAGGAGGCCCGAAGGGTCATGCATTGTCCCTGGGTGCGTGGCTGAAGTGAAGATCCGTGGTGAAGATTCTGCTTGTTGTGGTTGTTGTTGTTGTTCTTGTTGTTGTTGTTGTTGTTGTTGTTGTTGGTTGTTGTCGTCGTCCACCCTGTGACCGGCCCGCGACCCACCCCGCGACCCACCCCGCGACCCACCACGAGAACCACCCCGCGACCCAACCCGCGACCACCCGCGACCCACCCGCGACCCACCCGCGACCCACCCCGCGACCCGCTTGCGACCCATCTCGCGACCCATTCGGCGACCCACCCGCGACCCACCCGCAACCCACTTGCGACCCACCCGCGACTTACCCCGCGACCCACCCGCGACCCACCCGCGACCCACCCGCGACCGATCCACATTGGTTTGAAGAAAAAATCAACGCCTGCGGCGGGCTCGTTGCATAATTTGTCAAAAAAAATGGCGCTTGCGGCGGGCTGCAGTCGGCCCATATCAGAAGGGTGCACGATCAGGATGCAAGGGCCTTGGAAGGCCGTTCCGAAGCTTTTCGAGTGGGGCGCGGCCAACGAGAGTGGCAAAGGATGGGCCGAGGAGGCAAGGCTGCAAGGGTACCCTTGGGAATGTTGTCCATTCTTACTATGCGGGTAGACTGTACAATGGTCGAGTGCCGGGTCGGTCTCAAATCCCAAGTGGAAAACACACGCCTGTTGAGTACCCGCGGCGGTCTCACGCGACCTCCCCAGGGACCCACAAGGGTTTCAAAACGTGCCTCCGCGCCCACCGCACCCTCGCAACCGAGTGCCACGCACCCTCGTTGCGCACCCGCGCAGAATCTTGACCTTCCCATAGACTTGTCCCGTATCATAACGATGCGCGATCAGGATGCAACGGCCTTGGACGCCCATTTCGAAGCTTTTCGAGCGGGGCGCGGCCAACGAAAGTGGCCAAGGATGGACGGAGGAGGTAAGGATGCAAGGGTACCCTTGGGAAGGATGCCCATCCTTACTATGCGGGTTGACTGGACTTGCACCGCACCTGCGACCAAGGTCATTTTGATCGCGATGCGCGATGCGCCTTGGCCTAGGTCAGGCTGCGACTACTTACCCATCGGCACCAAGCACGTGTTGCTGGACTACATCAGTCAAAGGGGGGGTCTCTTGTACCCTCTTGGTACAATGGAGGTCGCACAACCAGAAGCCCGAATGGCATGGCGACTGGCGTGTCTGACTACAAATCTGCCGCCGGTGGTACCTTCCCTGACCATCCTGGAGTTAGGTTCGGCAAAAGCGACTACAAGCGGTCCACCGCCATATCGCGCGAAGAAACTCAAACTCTAAAAACACGCACAATATCTAAGCCCAACCCTGCGATAATCTTAAACTCTAGAACAAATTGCAAACATCTCTAAGCCAAAGCCTGCGATAATCTCAAATCCTACGAAGAACGTCACACCAACTCTAAGCCAACACCTGTGAAAATATCAAAACCCCAAAAAACTTCAAACAATCTCTATAAACCAAAGTATCAAACATCTCTATAAACTTGAAGACTGCTCTAAGCCGAAAAACTTGAAAGACAGAACTCTAAACAAACTCTAAAACAAGTATGGACAAAACTACGGGAAAACTCTCCAAAACAACTCCAGACGCCTAAAAACTCTGAACAACAAACTTTAAAACATCTGGAACAACTCAAAACGCCTGAAAACTCTAAAAACTATTAACAAATCTAGACAACTATGAAAACAAACTCTAATAAACTCGAACAATACATTTCTGACCGCCTGACGAGCTCCGGAAAACTCTAAATGCAAACCCCGGTGGCCTAGGAAACTTACAAAACAAACCACAAACAAATTCTAAGCTCAATCTGGCCGCCAAAGCATCAAGCATATGTGTTTCAATAGCTCTGCTTCGAGATGTTCTTGAGATTCGGTTTCATGTTTTTTTTCGGGTTGAGATTTTTCCAGGTTTGGTCTTTGAGATATTTAGAAGTGTTTCTCAGGCTTGCTTAGACATGTTTTGAATATTTGGGCAAGGTTGAGTTTCCTGCTGAAGATGTTCGGAAGATTTCGGAGGGTTTTCTCGATCGACCCCCTGTAATAGAATTACCGAACCCAAGCCTTGTGGGCCCCCGAAGGACTTCGAGCTGCGGCCAACCACGAAGCGGGCGCCTCCCATCCTTACGATTGGGGCGAACACGTTTGGGAATCCGGAGATGACGGATGGCCGGAACGCAGCGTAGCAGGCGGAGCAGGATGAGAAGGACGAGGAGAGTGATGAGCGAACAACGCACACCCAAACCCATAGGCCCATACCCATAGGGGGGTCGTTGGAAGGAGGACTGGCTATGGGCTCCCACTCGAGCGGGGACCCCTTATCCGATATCACGCACCCACAGCCCCCTCCGACCCCCCTGTGGGTATGGAGGTATGTGTTCTGTTCGCTCGCCAGAGGGCTGGTGGGAGTGGGGGAGAGCACACTCCTCCTGGGCTCGCTTTGCCCTGTCTGCCTCTCCCTTGCTAGAGGACGAAAAAATGGCGTAAACATAAACTGTTGGCGCTTCGCACGGATTTCTTGGATCTGCGCTGGACCCCCCCTCCCTGGCACGCGGAGCGCGCCAAGGGCGTCGCCAGAGGCGCCGCCGGGGGGGGGGCCCAGCGCGGATCCAAGAGATCCGCGCGGAGCGTGCGGATTCAAGAAATCCGCGCGGAGCGCCACAAGTTTATGTTTATGGCGCTTTTTCTTCTTCGATTTTGAGTGCCCAATCTGCTCCTCCAGTGGCAAGCACGTGCCTCGAAACACGGTGAGGCTCCGATCGGCCACGGCGCCCTGCGGGACCTGCAAAATGCTGCAATCCAATCCGGGGAACTTGGCGACGCTGCGAGTCGGAGCCAGCAATACCGTCAGGAGAAGATGCCACTGGACTCACCCAGAGGGCGACCGTGCAAGGCACAAACATCGCATACGGGGATCGAACGCACTACTGGATCATTCCGCGAACGTCCATTGACAATTGAAGGGGCCCAGGGACACACAAATAAATAGACACACATAATCGGACTCGTTCTCTCTGGCACTTTTTCTGGGTTTCCCCTTTTTCTCCCACGAACAACCGGACTCCTATATGTTATGGGTTTTCGTTTCCCCCCCCCACTTCCCATATTCTCCCATCTTCCCCTGGGAACCGACGACGAATTGTGTCTGTGCGCTTCTGTCCCTCCTGAACGACGTGGACCACATGACCCGCACGCTCCACCGCAGCGCCCGATGCGATGTTGCCACGGATGCTGCACCCGTGGAGGCAGAGGGCCGAGCAACGCCCCTCGGGAAGAGGAGTGGGAGGAGGAGGAGGAGGAGGAGGAGGAGCAAGAGGAGGAGGAGAAGAGGAGGAGGAGGAGGAGGGGGAGGAGGAGGAGGAGGAGGAGGAGGAGGAGGAGGAGAAGACGTGGTGGCCTGGGAGACCACGGTCTTCCTGCCCTTCTTCGGCTCCGCGGCCTCGCCACCGGCCTGCGGAGGGAGGTCTTGCGCAGCTGCACTCCCTAGGCCCAGGGTCAGGGCGGGCTTGTCCTCCCTCCTCCCTCCTCCTCCCTCCCTCCTCCCTCCCCCCTCCTCCTCCTCCTCCTCCTCCTCCTCCTCCTCCTTCCTCCTCCTTTCTCCTCCCCCTCCTCCACCTCCTCCACCTCCCCCTACAGGCGGAGCTTGGACGAAACATAAGCAAAACTCCAAACAAGCTCAGACATGGTCAGAACACCGTCCCCAGACTATGTTTGGACTACTTCTGTTGAGTACTCCTCCTGTAGGGGGGCACGCCCGACCTAAGCCCAGGGGGGACCTTGGAGTCTGGAGCGAGAGAAGAGGCCGGGGAGGGGGCAGGAGGCCGAAGAATCATCGATTTGAAGGGGCCCCAGGACACACAAATGAAAACACACAAATAGAAATAGTCCCCATATGTTCCCATATTTTCTAGGCTTTTGTCTTCCCCTCCACTTCCCATGTTTGTCCCATATTTTCCTGGGAATCGACGATTAATTGTGTCTGTGTGTTTTTTCCCCTCCTGACGATGGCTCGTCGGCCTCCTGCCGCCCTCTGCGCGACCCTCCACACGCAGTGGCCCCGCTGTGAGGCCGAGGCGCCCCGCGATCGGCAGCAGCTGCAGCTGGCCGGCTGGGCCGCGCCCCGCGCGAAAAAAAACATACAAACACACACACACACACACAAGAAAACACACACACAAACAAAAACACAAACACACACACACACACATAAACAAAAACACACACACACACGAATCAGAAGTGTCAGGCCAGGCACGGCGCTGGCGCGCGTGGAGCGAGAACGGTTGACTGACTGATCCCCTCACTCCTGCGGGCCTCCGCGCGATCCATCCTGGCAATCACCGCGGATGCCCGCAGCGCGGAGACCGGAGACGAAACGCACTCCCTCGCACCCAGACGCTTTCGCTAGGGGTAGCCGTTTTCCGATCTCCTGTGTCTCCAGATGTGGGGGGACTCACAACGTCATGGCGAACATGAGCAGTAGAAGCGGCGACACCCTAGTGGACGAAGCCAATCCGCGTGGCCGATGTACGTCGTCGTCATGGCGGGCGCCGAGTAGTCGTCGTCGTCGTCGTCGTCGTCGTGGTCGACGTCGTCGTCGTCGTCGTCGTGGTCGTCCGTCGTCGTCGTCCGTCGTCGTCGTCGTCGTCGTCGTCGTCGTCGTCGTCGTCGTCGTCGTCGTCGTCTTCGTCGTCGTCGTCCGTCATCGTCCGTCGTCGCCGTCGTCGTCGTCGGTCGTCGTCGCCGTCGTCGTCCATCGTCGTCGTCCGTCGCCGTCGTCCGTCGTCGTCGTCGCCGCCGCGCCCCGGAAGCCAGACCGCGAGGGCGCGCACACGGCCAGCTTCGCCGCCCGTGGCCACGAGCGCACGGCGGCCTCGCGCGAGGGGGCTCCTCCACGACACGCCGCCAGGCGCGCGCGGCGCGCCGCGGCACGCGGCGCACCGCGCGCAGCCTGCGCCAGCCTGCGCGGCCAGCGCCCGCCAGGGGGGCCCGCCCCCGCCGCTGCAGCGAGGGCGGCGGCCCGCCCCCGAGGGGCCCCTGCGCTGCACCCCCGAGGGGCCTCCGGCCCTTGTGGCCCGCCGGGCCCCCCCCCCCCCCCCACCCCGCCCACTGGCATTACGTCGGGCGTGTCCCCTCTACAGGGGGACTTTGGACGGGGAAAAAAAATACCCCCAAAATGCTCAAAGGATGCCCAAAAATACTCAAAAAATAGTCCCCATATCATTTTGACTATTTTTGAATAATCCCCCTGTAGAGGGGCAGGCCCGACTTAACACCAGCAGGAGCAGCACGGGAGGCGGAGCAGGCGAAGGCCCCGCCTTGGCGACAGCGCCCGACAGGGCAGGGAGGGCGGGGGGGGGGCGGATAGCTCGGAGCATCGGTTCACCGATCACTCTCTTTCCACGGGCGTGGCCGGGGCCGGGCTGGCCGATGTGCACCCCGCAGGTGGGGATGTGGGCGATGTCCTCCGAGTTCCGAGGGGTATACTCCCCAACTGGGGTAGAGGGATGGTGAGGATCGGCATGGAGATGGGGCAAGGAATCGTTTTTCCGCGCGAAAGTTGGATGGTTGCGATCAGCAGTGGGTCCATGATCGAACTCACCCAAGACAATGCAAACCTGAAGGAGCTGTGATGGGATGTATAGTGTGATGGTGATGAGATGACATAAGAGAGCTTCGAAGCCCGCCGCTCCGGTTTGTCCGGGGGCGGCCCCTGCTCCGCACCAGACACACGCGGGGCTGGGCCCAAGACCTGGAAGAACCCAAGCGAGCGCGAAGCTCCTCCTCCTCCTCCTCCTCCTCCTCCTCCTCCTCCTCCTCCTCCTCCTCTAGCTGAGGTGCGTCGTGTCTGACTTCGGCGATCCACTGACAGACCGACAGATGCCTGGGGGTCCTGCGGTTGCCGCTCTGCGCTGGCTCGGGGAGCACCGTGGGGCCCGAGGGGGCGTCCCCGGGGGACCCCGGACCGGCATTTGCGAGGCGGGTCCCGGCCCCAGGGCCCCCGGCGGGGGCCCAGTCCCCCGTGTTATATATATATATATATATATATATAGATAGATATACATACATATATACATATATACATATATACATTCAGACATACATACATACATACATACATACATACAGACAGACAGACAGACATACATACAGACAGACAGACAGACAGACATACTCGCGGAGGCCAACGCGACAGTATTGGACTTGATGGGCCTGTTGTCCACCACCACCACCACCACAAGTTGGAGGGGGAGGGGGTCGTCCTCGTCCTCCTCCTCCTCATCCTCCTTCTCCTAGACCCTTCTGCGCAGGTCTGCAGAATGCGGGGCGCAGGAGGGCCCACATCTGTAACGTACGGCCCCACTCCACATCCATTCATGTTCAAAGGTCTCTGGCCAACGATGGTCATCTCGGCTCTCGTATACAATCCGCTTCATGCGACAGGGGACAGCCTCGTGGAGATTTCGCTCGAGCTCGCCAACGTCAATGTGGTGGGATTGCCAAATACTCAAAGAAAGGCTGTGCCCGAGTTGGATTTCCAAGTATTCGTGATTCAGAATCGTGTATGTGTTGATGCAGGGTGGTCACGAGGGAGCCTTACCACTCGTTCTGCTGGAGTCGCCGCCATCCTCCCTCCAGGATGGAAACAACGCGATATTCATCAGATCGCCGTTCCACCTCCTGCGCTTCAGGGCCGAGAGGTCAATGTCGGGTGCGGCAAAGGGGGGTGGCACCTGTGCATCATGGCCTCTACTTTCCTCCTCGGTCCATCCTCAGCAGTGGGCATGAGAGCGTATCTTGCATGCTGTCGTCAGTTAGCGTCGTGGGCACAGGGGCCGCTCAAGAGACTTCCAGGCCGATTTCACCCCATTGTGTTGGCTGACGTTAACGACGGGATGGGTCTAGTCAAGAGAGAGGGGACGTGGGTGGAGGTGGAGACGAAGGCGGTGGGAAGGATACGAACTAAGGAGCGACATCTTGGAGGCGGAGATCAGAGGTTTCGTGAGCTGCTCGAATCAGCCGATTTGTTCTCGGCTACCACGCTCAGAGAGTACTCCACGATTTTTTATGGAGGGGTTGACAGCAGTTCGATGCTGGACCATGTGGCCATCCCTATTCGCTGGTGTGATGTTGTGCAGCGTGCCAGCCCTATTCATGCCATAGGGCGAAAATTGCAAGTAAGACCTAGTCGCGAACCTCGGGGCCACAGACCCGTGCTTGTCACGGTCCAGGTTCGACCAGTGCAGCAGTAACGACCAGTGCAGGCCCCCGACGGCCTCGAGAGGGAAAACACTACGTGGGATAGGGGTAAATATGCTCATGCAGGGAGTCCGTGGCGGGCGCGTTCGGGAAGCTCTTCTTCGGGAGGTTGAAACGGCTCTCGAAAAGATGTGGGATAGTATGCTACAGTCGGGGCGTTGACCTAAGGAACCCTGAATAAGGAACGAGGCCCCTTTTCTCAAGTTAAGCTTCGAATTCGGATCGAAACCCCAAGCAAAATCCAAGGCGAACTGCAGAAAAAACTAAGGAACACCGAGCCCCTCCCCAACGAAAAGGGTTCATTCCTCAGCGCCCCGCCTGTACTACAGCCGCATGCTATTCCCAGGCCAGATGTACTCATCAAAGAAAAAAATCTGGACTCCGCAGTTCGGGTGCCACACATGTCTCGCAGGGCTCGCGAACGACGGGCGTCAGAGCCAAAGTGTGCCAAGAGAGACTCGCGTTGCTCACCCTTCGTCGCCAGCTTCGCGGGCAACTCCCTACTCTCGATGATGATGAGTACCCGGCGTGCTGTGAGAAACTTCGGGATTTCACCCGTCGAAGCAAGGCTCTGTATCGCCGTCGTCGTCATGGTCGAAACGAAAGAATCGTCTCGGAGATCTGGGACGCCTGGCGGACCCGAGATTTTTCACTCGTGTACCGACCTTCGCTACGCCTCGCAGGAGGACGTGTTGGTCGTGCCAAGAGGGATCTACAGAAGCTCGATGGCGCCCTGCCAACAGCTGATCAGTGGATAGAGGTATGGGGACAAGAGGGAGAACTGGGAAGAATGCAGGCAACTCGTGCTACGTGGTCAGAGTTCTGTGAGCACCTGGATGCGCTGACCAACGCTCCAGGGCTGGTGGATAACGCTCGCGCGTCCTCAGCTTGCGTTCGTGCTGCGATCGACCTGGAGATGATCCAGAAATACTCCTCGAGGGCCTCGAAACGTCGAGGGGTCCCGTCATGGGCGCTTCCCCTGGAGCTATGGCATATATGTATAGGCTCGCCTACTGCTCATGATGCCTCTACTGCACGTGATGGTCTTGGGATCGACAGTAGCAAGACAGATGGCTACTAGTCTAAGTTATTGCTTCACAGGGCCTTCGCTAGTATACGATAGTGGGGCGGGGTTCCTAAGCTGTGGAATATGAGTCAAGGGTTTGCTTTACCTAAGGCTGATATTGCTGGACCTCGGGGGAAACGAGTAGTGCACGGGTTAGATCCGCTTCGTAAAGGGTTCTGCGCGGGGACCCAAAAGGTCGGGCCCAAGCTTGTGAATCCTGGATGTGACCACGGCGTTCTCCGTCATCGCCGTCGGGGGGATGCAGTTGCAGCGCGCGTGATCACGGGCTGGATGCTCACGCAGGAAGGTGTCCACTGGTGCGATTCCGTGAAAGACTTGTCGACCGCGCTTGCGTCCCCAAGCTGCCAGTCCCTGGATGAAGCGTGCAGAACGATGGCCCAACAGCAGGATCGGAAACTACGTCGACGGAGGCATCGCACTCCAGGCTGCATGCCCCCGTCGTCGGACGGCCCCATTACGATCAGGCCTGGATGTGGAGCACTGCAGGGCGAACCGTCCGCGGTGGCCAGCGTCGTTCGAGCATGTAAGGGCCCCGTCGACCGATGGCTTCATCGGTGCCAGGAGGAAGACCAAGGCGAGAAGCTGCGTTGGTCGGCATTGCCCGCCGAGCTCGGCCTCGGCACCGCACCTGGGTACCTTGGCTTGCATAAGTTCGCTGGTGATCTTCTGAAAAAGCTGGTCATTGGACCTCCTTGCAGTGCGCAGTATCGCGGTCGGCCCCTTGATCTCAATGATCGTATTTTGGACGAGGAGCTCAGCACCATCGGCCTTGAAGCGGAACCAAAAGAAGCAAGAGGCGATCATGTCGGTGCACCCTAGCTGTCGGCGAGGTGCTGCTGCGATCCTGAGAGACCGTGAAACACGTGTGAATGATGCTGCTCATTAACTGGGGCCGTATATTACCCCTACACAGGCGTTCAGTACGGAACTTACCAAACGTATTGCTGCTATAAAATCGTCTTTCCATCGATTGGGCGTTTGTTGGATCCAGAAAGGCGTGCCAGTTAGGTGGAAGGGGTGCGTTTTGCTATGTCACATCGTCAACGCGGCGCTCTCAGGGGTGGAGGCACTTATCACTAGCCCCAAGCAAGTCATGACACTGCACTGCGCCGTAGCCGCACTTACCAGATAAACACTGAGAGGGGAAACTAGCTGGGAGCATGAAACGGGAAGGCGAAGGTCGTTGTCGTCTCTGGATGTGCTTGCATGGTGGCGTATCCTTCCTACAGGTATTGAGCTTCGGGTCTGGCGACTTCGCTGGTTTCAGGCTTGTGTCCCTCACCCCGCTGCGCACGCTCAGCACCTGGCGGCACTCCTGGGCACTGCGCCTGCTGGGATGGGGGTCTCCCATGAGGAGGACACAGCACACACCCAGGCCAATCCGTGGGCTGTTGGTCTCCAGGATGAACTCCACACCTTGCTCCAGTGGAGTTCTGAAGCTGCTGAATGTTGGGATCGTGCTGGTAGGTCACTCATTCGCTTCTTCGAGTTCGAACTCGCTAAAGATTTCGTTCAGGTCGACGTGGGCATCCTCCGCAGTGCTTGTCAGACCTCCGAGACCCCCCCCCCAGGCATCCTAATGGACTTCGAGGCCCTTGAGGCCGAGGCGTTGTGCACTGAGAATCTGCATGTGTGTCCGTGGCCGTCGTGTTCGTCCCGATTCGCATCTCGTTCTGGACTGATCAATCATATTCGTCGAACCCACGGTACGGTGAAACTGCCACGCACTCACAACGTGTAATCAATGCATAGTGTGTCGTGAAATCTTCTGGGACAAAGAAGACGGCACAGAAACATCTCCATGGGTCGATTCTGCATGGCCGATGCCTGCGAGGCAAAACAGATACGCGCCGTGCTCTGGCCCCCCCTGATGATCTGTCGTGCCGTGTCTGTGGCTCGAGCTTCTCGACTTTGGACGGGTACTTCGTCCACGCGTGCACGCACCTCCCAGGGCTCCCTGAGGTTCGGCATGGACGTAGCCATGGACTTCGAGCTCCCCCCAGACGCTCCTGCGCGGTTCTTCACACTTCGCTGACTTCAGCACGCAGAGGGCGAAAACAGCCCTCCTGCCCGGGCAGCCCACACCAGTGCTGCTGGGGCGAGCGGCGGGGGACGGGGAGGAAAAGGAGGCGGCGGTCGTCAAGGCGAGGACCACGCGGACGACTCGACGATGAAGTGGGCGGTCCGCCAGGCGCTAGCCAACGCGAGGGCCATCGCCGAGATAGAGTCAAACATCAACGACGCGTTCCTGATGTCAGAACAGTCTTGTCTGGCTCAGGCGGGGCTTAAAGGCAACAAGTACTACACCGAGTGCGTGAACTAGCCGAAGGAGAAACACGCCAACGACGCGACGACGGACCTCGGATCCCTGGGGCCTCCCTGGCTCATGGTGCTCTGCATGGTGATGGCGGGGATCAAGGAGCAGTCCCAGATCGGCCAGTACGAGGATGCGGTCAACAGCTTCTGGGATGCCTAGACCAAAGACAAGCAGCTAGCCGAGGTAACGCTGATGATTCGGCACATCTCGTTTCAGGTGCCGCGGGGAGAGAAGAGCAAGCGCATGTAGGGAATGGTGAAGTTCAAGCTGAACGTGGTGTTGGGCACGAACGCGGGGGCGGGCCTCCAGGAGCTGATGTATTGCACGCTCACCGAGCTCAACGCGCAGCGCCTCGTAGGTTCGGCGCCCCGCAGCCAGGCAGAGAGACACCTCCAGCAATGGATCCAGAAGCGTTGAGGCCTGGCGATATCGTGATTGCTGACTGGCATAGGGAAGTTATGGACTCTGGGCTCCAGCACGCCAGGGATGACAGTTCTAATACGGGTGTATTGCCAAATGTGTCTCCTCCTGGCCAGAACTCGAATGCTACATCCACGGGGCCTGCGAGTACCCGTGCAGCCTCTGATCGGATCGGTGCGCCGCCTGGTCAAGTACGTGCTGCACATGAGTCTGAACCAATGGAGTTCACATCTGCTACGGGCGTCTCTAGGACGCCCCCCCCCCCCGAAGCGAGGGGTGCAGGCACCTCGACGCCGAGCGTGAGTCCGATTCGTGCTGGTGCCCGCAGGCGCCTCCTAGGGGGGCCGCTCCCCCCGTCGTGGGGCTCGCCTCGGGGCCCGAGGGGGGCTTTCCCTCCTGCAGGGCTCTCGGAGCTGCACCACAAGTTGGATGATGGTCGGCCAGCTGGCCGTCGCAGGGATGAGTGTTTGTTTTTCAGGTAGCTTGCGATTGCAGGCGATGTGTCGTGGAGCATGAGATCGTCCCCAGCGTTCCCGATCCCGATCCTCCTTCTTCGCCCCCTCGTCCTCCTCCTCCTCGTCCTCCACCTCCTTCCCCCCTCCAACTTCTGGTGGTGATGGTGGAAAACAGGCTCATCAAAGAGGGGGAGGGGGGGCGCAAGTCATGGCTGGAGGCCTGTGCGCGGCCCAGGGGGGGACCCGGGGACGCAACGAAAGAAGCAGCGGCGTCATGGAATCTCAGGAAATGTCATGGCCCGCGCCATGAAATGCACGCCCCCCCCCCCCTTAGTCATCGCCCCCCTCTTGGCCGCCCCCGAGTGTAGTCTTAGGTTAGGCATGTCCGCCTACAGGGGGATGTTGCAAGACAGATTCAAAAAAAAATACCTCCAGAAATGCCCAAACATGCTAAAACAAAATGACACAAAAATAGGCCCCAGACAATTTTCTCTTTCCTGTTTGTGAAGATTCCCCCCGGTGGGGGGACAGGCCAGATTTCCTCCTCCTGCTCCTCCTGCTCTTCCTCCTCTTTTTGCTCCTCCTCCTCCTCCTCCTCCTTCTCCTCCTCCTCCTCTGTAGAGGGAAAGGCCCGACTTCCTCCTCCTCCTCCTCCTCCTGCTCCTCCTCCTCTCCTGCTCCTCCTCCTCCTCCTCCTCCTCCTCCTCCTCCTCCTCGCCCTCCCTCCTCCTCCTCCTCCTCCTCCTCCTCCTCCTCCTCCTCGGCCCCTCCGCTGCCGCGGCGGGGCGCGGCGGGGCGCTGCGCCGCGGGCCTCCGCCGCCGCCTCCGGCGCGGGGGCCTCGCGCGGGGGCGCCGTGCGGGCCGGGGCCCTGCTGGGCGGGGCGCGGTGCCGATGCGCAGCGCCGCTGCACCTCGAGGGCCCGCCGTCTGCAGGCTGGCTCGTGTTCGGGCACCGAGGCCTTCCTCCTCCTCCTCCTCCTCCTCCTCCTCCTCCTCCTCCTCCTCTCTCCTCCCTCCTCCTCCTCCTCCTCCTCCTCCTCCTCCCCTCCTCCTCCTAGTCGCCCTCCTCCTCCTCCTCCTCCTCCTCCTCCTCCTCCTCCTCCTCCCCTCCTCCTCCTCCTCCTCCTCCTCCTCCTCCTCCTCCTCCTCCTCCTCCTCCTCCTCCTCCTCCTCCTCCTCCTCCTCCTCCTCCTCCTCCTCTGGTATCCTCTGGTATCCTACCAAGCGAGTCCAGCTCTGCCAAGACTCGCTCACCTGCTCAGTGGCAGGACCCGCCTCCGAAGTCAAGGCCAAGACACCTCAGAACCTCGGGGCACCAAGAATTCGGGCGCGGCACCGCCACCCAGGGCTGGCGGTGCCCACACAACATTAAACTCGGCACCCTCGACCGCTTTCGGACCTGGGGCCGAGCCACGGGCGAGCGGAAACGGGTGCCCCCAAAAAACGTCGCCCTGGGGTTCACGACCAGCGCGGAGACGGTCCAGGGCGAGCTTCCCCAGACGGACCGAGTCCCTGGGACGACTGGACCAGGGACGACAGGGCACGGCCAACAGATGGGTCTGCCGACGGGCGTATGCCCCGCAGAGCTTACAGAAGACGATCGCCTCGTCCCCCCCAAGGCCCCGACCGTCCCCCCCACCCGTCCCACGCCCACGCCGAACCACCCACAGCCTATGGGAAGGATGGGCGATCGCCGCAGGCCTAGGCACTCCAGGACACGGGTGGCAGACTATACGAGATCGGAGCCCATTCCTTACCCCACAGATGCCACATCCCCAGGTCCTCCCAAGACGGCCCAGGACGTGCCCGTTAGGGTTCGCCACGAGGGAGAGGACCTGCTGGGGGCAGGGACGGGGAAGAGGACTCCGATCAGGCCAGCCCGCGCCTGCGACACTTTTCAGCACAGCGCCGTGATGGCGGAGGAGCTGCTTGCTCGCCTCCGCCGCCGAGCTCACACGGGTGGCGAGCTCCTCCGCCTCCTCGAAGTCCCAGTGCAGCCTGGCGCCCTCCTTGGCGCGCTTGTCGGCCTCCTGGTTGCCGATGTGCCAGTGGGCTGGCACGCCAGCCGCCTCCGCCGCGGCCCAGCTGGTGTGGGCACGGGTCCAGCGGATGACCAGCGATCCAGGCATGTCGCGGGCTCGCGTCCACACCTCGCTCCAGAGCTCCGCGTACCTGGACTCTGGGCTGGTGCACCACAGCTCGCCCTTCTCGTAGTCGTCCACCACGTTCCTGCAGTCCGTGATGATCTCCAGGTCGCCGTCGGCCTCTCGCAAGACCACCAGCAGCGCGTACAGCTCGGCAAACCCGATCTCCTGCACCAGGCCTGGCACCGTCCCCATCACGCCGCCAATCACACGGCCGTCGGTGGTGACCATGATGCCCGCCCAGCCAGTGCGAGTGATCTCCACCAGCTGCGGGAAAAAGGCTGAGCCGTCGATGCACACGGTGCCCGAGAACCCAGCTCGCCGAAGGGCCCCCGCGCGCAGGCTCCGCTCAGCAGCAGCCGGCTGCGGCGCCAGCTCCAGCCCGAGCGGAACGAGGCACCGCACGAAGCCCAAGTCCGTGACCTCCGCAGCTGCGCCTGCGGCGCGCACAGCAGCCAGGCCCATGTCGCGCGCCACCGTCGCCGTCCCCTCGCAGCAGAACAGCCTGTGGTGGTGAGTGCCCATGCCGTAGCCGCACCACTGACAGTCGGAGGAGACGGCCGCCCGCTCGTCGTAGAGGTTGCACTGCGAGACGAGGCCCCCGCACACGAGGCTCTCCACCAGCGCCGTCTGCTCCCTCCTCCTCCTCCTCCTCCTCCTCCTCCTCCTCCTCCTCCTCCTCCTCCTCCTCCTCCATCCCTCATCTCATCATCATCATCATCCGCACATCATCATCATCATCATCTCATCATCATCAGCATTCAGCATCATCATCAGCATCATCATCATCATCACCACCACCATCATCACCATCATCACCATAATCATCACCACCACCACCATCACCATCACCATCATCATCATCAGCAGCAGCATCATCATCATCACATCAGCATCAGCATCACCACCTCATCAACATCATCATCATCATCATCATCATCATCATCATCATCATCATCATCATCATCATCATCATCATCCTCGCCCTCATCCTCCCCGTCGCCCTCCTCGCCCTCCTCGCCCTCCTCCTCCTCCTCCTCCTCGCCATCCGCCTCCTCCTCCTCCTCCTCCTCTTTTCCTCCTCCTCTTTTCC